GCTATGGCATTCTTGACGTTGCGCACAAACTGTTTCTGAGCGCCATAAGCAGTCCCCTTACTGATAATACTGGAACGCGTTTGCATCTGAGCCTCCAACAGCGCCCACACGTACGTTCGAATAGAGTCGTTCAATCGGGTGAAACCGGCACGAGTAATCCCTTTCGACGTGTCCAGCATGAACATTTTCCAACCGTCTGCGGTTGACTGCTCCACTTTCTGGACGGTGAAAGCAACCCCACCAGTTCATACGGTCATCCCTTCATTCATTACTCGACAAAGCAAAGTCCTGGCGTTGTACATCCCGTTTCAGTAAATCATCACTGACTTCTTTCATGGGTCGCCCCCCATCATATGGAATACCCAACCCATGGTTCGGCCCCGGCAAATGCCAATCCGTCTTCGAGTTTAGTTCGAATTCGTTGCAAATACGTTCGTAGGCCCGTCTATCGTACTGGTTGTCTACTGCGTTCCATGCGTTGTCCTGTGGGAGCGGGGCGCTGATCTCTTTAAGGATACGCCTGACCTGGTAGTACATGTGAAACATGAACACAGACTGACACAGCGGTCCACGCCGAGTGTCGGTTAATGCCAAACCACACCCCGTTGTAGCACACCACACGTCGAAGTTGAGTTGATTTTGCCAGAACTGCATCGGGTTGTTGAACCAAGCATGGACTGCCTTGACGTTAGTCACTGAAAGCTTATACTTGTCGAACACATCTAAAAAAAGCCGGGAGTTGAAATACATCCCATCAGCGACTACGATCTTCATGGGTGAGAATGTACGTCCAGTTTAGGGTAAAACACTCCAGGGGAGTAAGACACTCCAGGGGAATACATTTTAAAACTATTATATAATGAGTTTATATACTCTAACATGTACATAACACTTCTAGGAATAACGAGCGGTGAGGCCGTTCAGCTGACGCATGCGATCGATAACACGTCGGGTCAACTCGAAGTCGCACTGTGCGATATCACCTACCTGCCGCGATGGACTAACATCAACGCTAGCAACAATAAACTGTTCGTAGGTGGCGCTCGCAACCAGATAACTGATGGCTACTACAGCGTGTGCTCTCTAAGTGACGAGGTCTTCAAACCCCTGGGAGCCGAACTCAAGATGAACGACTCAAACGGCACAGTGGTGTTAATCAACAACGGAACAAACTCCTTGAGGCTCGGCCGACCATTGACGAGGACACTCGGTATGCAGCCTGACGAGATAAAACTAACGACTACCGTCACAGGCACTAAGTTACCCCACCTAGTACCGTATCGAGAGCTGTGCATTCATCTCAGCCAGGTTAGCACAACGGACAACATGCAAGGGGGTCACCCTTCCACTATACTGAGAGCCGTACCGGTGAAAACGGAGAAATACAACGACGGCAGAACCGAGTCGTTTTCACCTCGGCAGTATAAGAGGTTAACCCAGGGCAACATCCCTGAGCTGATAATATCGGCGTTAGATATAAATCATAATCTCGTGAATATAGGATACCTTAGCATAACGCTGCACATAAAATGACCAGCGCACAAGGTCCCGGAATGAAGTTGAAAAAATGCATCAATGTGGGGATCTCCGACCTCGGGGACACACGCGGATTCGAGGTCACCGGAGTAGATGGTAAATTGTATGCTTTGCAACTGAAAAACAGCATTTACAAACGCGTTGAAGTCCCCTCCGTTGGCACTAGCAACCTAAGTGATATAGTAGATACCACAAGAGCGGCAGTCAACACTCGGTACACCCTAGTCACCACCGGGGATGATAAATGGATAATATACCCATCGTTCGGGGGCAAACTGTTCGACTTAGACGATGTTGAGAGCAACGTGACGGCTATCACCAAAAATAAGCCATATACACTCGTCTTCACTGAAGATGACAAGTGGGTGTTATTACCCAATAAAGCCGACTGGTTTCTCAATATTAGGCTCGGCTCCCCCTACGTGTTCACGGATAACAAAGACAACCACCTAAACAAAGTCGTGAACAACGGAACCCTGCTCGTGGCTTACGTCCCGACTCAGAGACATAGCGTAGTCATCAGCCCACTCGCCAGTATGGCAGCCCACATGCTATCGAGTAAAGCGGGCATGCAAAACGTGGTATTGCAGTTGGTGTCTGAATTCGAAGGCGTGGTCAAGATCCCGGAGAGTCTACCGGCGAACTCAAAACTGGTCATCCAAGTCTACCTAGGGGAACCATCGCGGGATGATGTAGAGATCGTGAAGGGGGTCAAACTCCGGTGGGGGAAACAACACCAGTATCACGTTTGCAACGTTTACGTGCGGGTGGGTGTCGACTCCAAAACCAGTTTGCAGGGAGTCAACGTGATCGTGGAAGACACGATATCACTAACCAAGATATTCCTACCCGACAACATACACTTCATGGGGGTGCACTTCACCCCTGAATTATTATCAGAAAACCCGTTGGAAATTATATCGTAATAGTATTATAACAATGTCTTGGCTTCACCCCAACACTACACTTAGCGATCTAGGGGACATGGAGGGATTCGATCAACTTGGTAGGAGAGACACCTCGTACGTCCTAAACTTGAAAGACAACGTGTATAGGCGGATGCCGTTATCAGATTTTAAAGAACCCAAATGGTTGTTCAACATAACCCTCACCACACCTTACATTTCTTTTCGTAATGGTGGACCTATCACTAGGGATATCGCTGAAATTAAGAACAGTGGTATCTTACTCGGGGGGTTTAAATCCGACGGCTATCAAAATATTAGCATTTCCCAAATCCCAGATGACCTGGGTTACATCCCAGATCGCCTGGGTCACATGTTAGATACAACTGGGTGGGATGCACGGTTATCTTTTAAGATACACTCTGACTTACCATTTTCTAGGTTTATGGCCCCAGGCTCCACATTAATCATAGAACTCTTGGTAAAAAACGCCAATATACACCCATGGACCCTTTTATCTGGGTTGAAACTAGAATTATATGATGATTTAGATTTATACGGTCCTTGTATTATCGTCATACAACGGGACTCGGCCCCCGGTGAGAAGTTGCTGCCCATTTCAAACACCTGTCTATTTAGGGTTTCCCCAATTTTACCTATTGACCTTTCCTCCATTCACCTACCTGAGAACGTAGGCCTTATAAATTTCAGGTACGTTGATCGGTTATTAACTGATGCCCAATTAGAAAATATTTTAATAGATACATTATAGGCACACTGAATGGGTCTGTACCCAGTCGTAGAGGAAGTAGTGAAGACCCTGGAAACCGTAGACGGGTTCCGCTTGAGACAGTTATGTGATGTAAAACACCAACTAGAACAAGTCGGCGACACGCGGAAAACACTATATAAAAAATACCATAGAGCTTTCAACATCGTGGACGGTGTTGATACCACCCTTATGGCTACCAGTATGGGGTTAGGAGCAGCAGGTGTTGGGTTGTTAGCCACCATCGTGGCCACGCCTATAGTGTTAGGTCTTGAAATAACAGCTGGGGTGACAGGGGTGTTAGGGTTGGTTCTTAAAGGTCACATGCAACCAAAAAAATCAAACATAATTAAAACACAATTATCACTTCTTCATGACATATAATATACATTGCTGATTATGAAAAAATGAATAAAAAAAATTATAAGCGTACAATCGCAAATCAAAAGTGCAATATTTTGTACTTGGGTTTACCTCCCTCGAAACGAAGCAGCCGGCATACCGAACCCAGTCAGAGCGGGTGGGCGTGCACTCAAGTGTAACGAAGACTTTTCATTGGCTGGTTCATTTGCCGATACGCTCATCTGTGTGTATATAGAGATGTTGGGTTTTGTAAATACATGCTCATTTTTTCTGCATTTGCGTTCGATTCAATCACAAAATACTGAGATGGTGAACTACTGCGGGGCTACTGTACAATGCAAGACTTGAAACTGACATTCGGAGTTTGCACCAGTTTCCGTCCGATCCAGTGCTCCGAGAAAAATGGATGCGGTTTGTTCAAGAGAAGCGCTCGTGGTGTCAATTTAACAAGTATTCGCGATTATGCTCAGATCATTTTAGTGATGACTGCTGGAAGACGACGCTGAATAGGAAACTACTGTTGCCGAAAGCTATACCTTCGATCCAGAAGAAACTGACACCAAACACCGGTCCTCTACCTCATGTTGACATGTTCGGACATCCAACAAAGCGAAAGAGAAAAAAGTCAAGCAAGGACAGGGTAAATAGTACACACATATGTTTAGATACGTACATCGTGAATTATAAATTACCAAGCAAAATAATGAGTTCTAGAATTTGTACATCTGTACATCCCGTTACTATTTATAGGTGCTGTTCACTCAGTAAACACACCATGAAGAATGATGGCAAATATGTGAATATATCGTTCCTAATCGAATGGGAATCATTTATCAATGTGTTATGATGTAAATCGTGTCTTTGGAATAGTTTTCATGTCAGATGTTATCACTAGTGTTGACATTTCTAGGCCCAAGTGACATTAGCCTATCTGGTATTTTTTGTATGAATCTGCTCTTGAATTATGTTGACATTTTGCTTTATAGTTACTGCCCATTATGTCATTCCCCTCTCACTGTAAAGATATTATTATTATAATGCATGTTCTTCAAAATTGGAGGGATGCAGTTGCTGACGATGCATAACTGTAAAAATCATTTGGAAAAAATACTTCAACATTTAAAGATGGTAAAAAAATAACATTCCAATGAATTCTACTTACTTTTATGGCATGTTTTCATGAATTCATTTTCTATATATGTTCAGTTATTACTATAATTGTCTGATATTAGCATTGTATGAAAATAAAAAAATATGTAAAATATGTTATGTAAAATCAGAGTTACATATTAGCAATATTTTTAAATATCAATTCCATCTGTAATAACTTTGCTCTACTTACTTTAATACAGATAGTTACACAACTACTTGCGAAGGTGCGAGAAGATATACCTCACCTGACACCCACATCTACCACTATAGACCTTCTTGGATGATCACGATGGATCATGTGATAAAGCCTCCACCCCACAATTAGCGGTCACAGTTGAGGAAGCCATCCCAGATGTGGCCTCTATCCCAGATCTACAACCAGCAAGTGCATCTACTGGAGAAACACTACAGGTATATAATTGTGTGCATGCCAGTAATGCTGCATAATGCAAGGAAATCGTGACTGTGAGAATGTAGTGGAAATAGCAAGTGTCAGAGGAGCGAATGTCTAATGATGAGATGTTGTTTTTGACATTTATATATTTGTAATTTAAATACAACAATTTATTAAAATTAGATGTATGCATTTTCATTCACTCCAATAAACAGTTTCCTTTCGTAATGTTGACTTTCATTTTTCTTTATTAGGAGTCAACAGCTAGTCTGCCACCATCCAAGCAAGTTCTAAAAACAACATCAGCCCAGACTTCAAAGAGAGGTTATGTCTGCAGGAGGTCGGCTGCAACTCAGGCATCAGTCAAATCTCAGTGCAAAGGTACCAGTGTGTATAACATTTTGCAATCAACAGATATCATAACATGTCATGTGTACAAGTATCACACCTGCCTGTCTGTGTAATTACATAATGTGACAGAGACAGAACTCAGGTGCACGAGCCATAAATCAATTGGTTTTGTTTATGGTCTATAGCCTGATAGGTGTTGGTTTAATTTGCATGTGGTCAGTGATTGAAGTTGTGTACTGCATATTGTCATTAGCTGACAGGCAGGCAGACACATAGGTGTCAATAAAACAGAGACATTGAATTTTGTCTTTGACAGAGGCTGCTTATCGCAATCAACATGTTTTTTCTATGTTTCCATAGACATGAATTCAAACATTTCAGTTTCATTTTTAATTTTGATACTTTTTCAGCCTCTAGATAAGGAGTGCAATTGTTGTAGCACGATACACTTTCATAATAACTTATATATATATAATTTTTAATGTCCAGATTTTTTTTAGACAATGATGAAGAGGTATTCCTGGTTCTGTATTACAGGGACATCCACTGAGTCCACCGAGAAGATGACATCTGTTGGAATCCAGTGCTCACTTCTAGAACTACCGCTGCCTGTTCATGACGGCACTGACAAGCCCGAGTCAGCTAATGATGAGATGGACCCAACCTGGCAGCCTCCTCTGTTACAAGCACAGGACAGTGATGACGAAAACCTTGACAGCAAGTGTGACCGGTACATTTTTAACAAATTTAATACAAGTTCGAATACATTGTAGATTTATTTTTATCCCCCGCCCCAACAACATTGACTGGGGGGTATATTAAGATCATAGTCTGGCCCAGAACTCAAAAAACGTTAACATTGATGTGTTATGATCTTTAGATTGTTTCTAATATCAACCCGAACTCAAGCAATGATCAACTGACCAATATTACTGCAAGAAGACATCTGTAAATTACACTAAAATCACAAGTTGTAGGTACTTTTTACATATTCTGGACACATAAGGTGTGTTTAATCGAGTTATTATTATATAAAAAAGAATCCTATTACCTAATAATGATTAATGCAGTAATGAACATAAGAATACTTGTATGTGTAACATGTTTATTGCGATTATTTCATCCCTGACAAATTGTAAACACTCTTTCAGTCTCGAGTCGTCTTCGCCAGAAAAAGAGAAGAAGTTCCTTGTTTTCGAGGGTTGCCTATTGGAACTATTCACCTCATGTCCTGCATGTAAATTGCCAACATCAGTGAAAAAGACCTGTGTTGGAACTTTCTTATGCATTCATCAATACTGTCAATATTGCTCTTTCTGCCGTCGTTGGGATAGTCAACCCTACATAAAGAACATTCCAGCTGGGAACATTCTGCTGTCTGCTTCAATCTTATATTCTGGATCTCTCCCAAGAAAGTCACTCCTAATGCTGCAGTACCTTGGTATGTCTTCAGTCAGTGTTAGGACTTTCTTCCAACATCAGAGGACCCTGTTACACCCAGTGATTGAGAGAGTATGGAAAGAAGAACAGAGGATGATTCTAGATGAAATTCGATTCACAGATGAACCTCTCGTCCTGGGTGGAGATGGAAGGGCAGACACTCCAGGCCACAATGCTAAGTTTGGCTCCTACACCCTGATGGAACTGGGTAGCAGCAAAGTTGTACATGTACAACTAGTGCAGGTATAGTTTATGTCATTTTCTTTTTATTGTTCATGCACAAAAGAAAAGTTATAACAAATAGGTAAAATTGGAAATTTAATCTGAAGTAAAGTGTAAAAGATAATCATTAACTGCTGACACACTGGTCACAAAATAGTTATCTTGTGGTGGAAAGTGGAATTTTACCATTACTTGACTAAGCTATCGGTGTTAGGATGAATAAAGAAAATGACGTACAATGAGGAATTTGTATATTTATGACATCCGTTTATAATGTTCAATATAATAGTGCAACAAGGGTTTATCATGTGTGTAATATCTATGCAAGATGTCTAAACTTTCTTCAGAGCAATGAGGTGAAAAACTCCAACGCCATGGAAAAAGAGGGCCTGGCTCGTAGTGTTCACTTCCTCAGAGAAGAAGAAATGAACATCCATACCATGGTGACAGACCGACACCTCCAAATTCAGAAGTGGATTCGAGAAGAGATGCCTGATACTGTACACCACCATGATGTCTGGCATGTGGCTGAAGGTACATTGAAATTATGAACAATACAAACTGGGGGTTGCTTTTTGATTATGATTTTCATGGATCATGGATCATTGAAATTATGAGCTATTTATCTTTTTAAAATCAGGTTTGCGAAAGAAGATGGAGGCCTTGGCAAAAGAGAAAGACTGCAGCATAGTTGGCAGATGGGTCTGCAGTATCTGCAATCACCTCTATTGGGCCGCAGCATCCACTCCTGATGGGAACGGGGACGTCATCAGAGACAAATGGTTATCTGTAGTAAACCACATGCAGAATATTCATCACGGCCATGGGAAACACTTCCCCAACTGTCTACATCCAGATCTAGGTCAAGATGACCAGAAGAGAAAAGGGTTGAAGTCAGGTATGGGAGAAATATATATCTGCACATGACAAAATCATTTTGACAATTGATACTAAGCTATACAACTTTGATATTCAATTTGGAAGCGTTCTCTTTTAGAATGGATCTTCTATTCTGTTATATTCTATTATGCGATCAAAATTGTTATGGATAAAAAATTGTCTTTCACAGGATCCAAGGCCTGTGAAAAGCTCAGTCAGCTCCTTGAGAAGCCTCGTCTTTTGCACGATGTACAGAAACTCTCCCCAGGCTACCAGACATCCAAAATCGAAGCCTATCACAGTGTGGTCAATCATTTTGCACCGAAGATGATTGGGCTTCTCTTATCTTGGCATGAGTCCAGGTATTATGTGACAAAATAGCATTGACTGGTCAATTTATCATCAAATCCTGTTGTGTTCCTAACAAATGACACATTTTTTCCTGATATCTCGAAACCAGATGTGGAAAACTGTTCCGTCGATTATATTCCTTTCATAAATATGTTTCACTGATAATCATAAATATAACTTACATGTATGAATGCGACAGATATAAATATATTTCAATTTTTTGTCCAAATTGTATCTTGCCTCCATGGACTTCAATGAGAATGGGTCCAGGCAACAAGCATTTAGCAAAGCCGGAAATGCACAGGTATCAGTGTCCTATCCCAAGTACAAGAAGGGACAGTCGGTGATCCATCTTGTCAAGACAGCGAGGACCTATGGTATGTCTGATTGTGTACAATACTCAAGCTACAATGTCGATCCAAAGTCTTTCACAAGCTATTGATCAAATTACTGGATAATATTTGCATGTGCCATTACCTATTGGTAGAAACTCTGAAAGTGTGCAACGTTACTGTTTGATCTAGTTCTCTGTGTTAGCAAAAGCTACACTTTTGACCCCACAAAAAGTCCATGATTTTGCTCAAGGTCTTAAAAGTTTCATTAACGCTTATGGAAATTACATTCACAAGTGTCTTATTTCATTGCAGTGATATCCTAAATTGCACATTGTTATCATATTGTATTTTGAATTGCAGATTATGTGGATCGCCTTTTATCAAGAACCTGCCAGGAGGTTGTCAACCACCAAAGGAACTGCTGCACACAGAACTCCAGCACCCCTCACACACACATTCAAAAGAATAACAAAGGAAGATGCCATTGCCAGGCACAAGACACGTTTCAGCAGATAGACACGCATGCCATAAATGAAACACAGTGACAGACGATGAAAAATAGACATTCTTTTATTTTGTCAATATGCATGATATAGTACAGTGTTACTATCCTAAAGTTATTTTATACATTAATGTTTGCAATATGTTTGTCTAGCATAATTTGTATATATATATGTACATTATGTATTTATGATGTTTGTTGGTGATGTAACTCCCAAAGAAACTGAATAAAAAGAACCCTGATACAGTACAATAACATAATACTCCACATACACTATAAATGATTAAACTTGATAAAAATAATTGTAAATATTACATTCACTGAATTGGAGTGGGAAAAGCAAAATATATTCTTCTTGCCACAAAGTCATTGTTTGTCATTACTCTAAAGATGGATACTTGAAGCCTCAAAATTCTTCTGATGGAAATTCCATTCTTATGGCTCTAACTGCACATGCAGGAAGTGGCACTCTCACTTTCCTTCCCAGGTATCCACAGCATCATCTCACAAACTGCCGGTAGCCTGTGTATCTGTATCGCCTTAAAGCAAAAATAATGTAATCATAATTATTATTTTACAGTGTTAATCTAAATCAGAATTCAATCAATTGAAGATACGATCTACTGAATTAGCTTTACTTCTGTACATATTTATTCACATTACCTGTTGACAGCTTGATCAGCCACATCTACCTCTCAATACTGCTGTCTGTACTGGAAGTATGCTGTCTGCAGCACCCATCTGTTACAGCACACCCCAGTAAAGCCAGGGTGTTGAGTGATGCAGTTTACTGGTGGCAGGCCTTCTCTCTCCACTTCTTCAATCTTGGCCACAATTGTAGGGTTCTCCTGACAGCAGCTACACTCTTCTGCAGTTGGGTGTGCAATACACTGTCCACACTTGCACCTAAAAATATTTAAAAGCAACAGTGCATATAATTCTAAAATAAAGCTCCATTCATCAAATACCATTCCTAATTAAACTACATATTGTCAAAGATATTTTTTATGGATTAAATTTTCTTTTTTGATTTATTTCCATTTTATAAATATAAAATAAGTTTAATCCATAAAAATACAATGTACAATTTGTAATTGCCACTGAAACTACATATTGTTACAATTTCACTAAGTTCTGTAGATCTACTACATTTTTTGCTGACTAATAGACTTACTTAAAATGGGTTAAAGTGACCATTCTTTAATTGGGGGACTGTCTCATCACCCAGAAGAACAGGGTTCGATTCCCGCCGGCGTCCTAACAAGAACATTAAAAGATGGGGGTTGTTGGTTCCTTGCTTGGTGCTAAGCTAATATAAGGTTACACTCAGCTGGCGCTACACTGCGGTTGTAAAGTGTGCCTCCAATGCACACACAAAACAAATTTCATTGTACTCATGGTAATAATGAATTCTTATTATTATGATAATTCACAAGTTTTTAATGTGAAATGTCAAATAACTAACATTAAAAAATAAATTTATATGAAGTCTCTGATTTGAAAAAAAGTAGAAAAGCATTGATACGAAAATCTAGTAGGTCAATACAAACCATTCAGTGTTTTCTGTGCGTCTGTTATCCATATATCCTAAACCAGGATTCTCTGGGGTTCCCTCGCTGTCGCTTTCATCTGTTACTGGTTCAAACATGTAGGGGTCTACTTGGGTGTTGCTGTCAACTTCCTCCTCGGTTGAGTGTCCATCTTCTGAAAAGAATTCACATTCCATATCTAAAGCCATGTTTGGTGAACTCGAATCACTGTCTGAACCCGACATCTTGATGTTATTTGACAGTTAGAAATTCTAACAAAGCTAAATAATGACGTTGCTGTGAGTATCGAACTGAGAATGTGACTCGGTAACAAGTACGTGTGGTTAAATAGTCTAATGAAATTATATAAACAGTTAAATCGGTAATCTACTGTCACAACATATAAAAAGCTCGCGCCTGAGAAATACCAACAAAACATTAGAAAAATAGCTCACATCAACAGGTCGGGGAGAACCGCAAAACGACTTATAAAAGTTAGATCGAGCTATAGCAGTTCAAACGAGCTATATGCCTATAGGTCGATCGAGCTATAATAGCACATATACTGTTTTGTTCATGCATTGTACAATATACCATTTTAAAGCACCAACAGGAAATTAGCGATATAAAGGTTTAACATTCAATTATTTTATGAATATTTGTAATTGCGTCACATTTGGTAAGGTATCTGCATATGTATTCTATAAATATATAGAGACAAAGTGTACACGTGTATAACATAGCGTTCCTTTCACATTGTACAATGTTTGACACGTCTGAATAACTGGACTCTATTTTCTATCAAAATCACCAATTCCTGGATTATAACACTCATCTTCAGAAACAAGCACCAGTGTGAGGCATGCTGACTGTTTGCAATTGCAGGATGTCAATTCCAACAGTCCTTTGAGTGGGGGATGCTTTGTCATCAACACAGGCTGAATTAAACCATCTTTTGTCTCTCAACCATAGCCATCGACAGCAGGAAGAACATGCATTGCTTGCAGTGCCCTTCTCTAGACATAGACTTGGTAGTTTGATCGTTTCATGCGCTGGATAAGGCTGGTTGAGGTTGGCAGTCATCTTTCATTTTTGAGTTGCTGCTTACACTAAAGCCAGTACCTGACACCATCTGCCTTCTTGCCAGCCCTGTCATCAACTGTATAGAGACCGCAAAAGAATTCCTCTCAAATCTAATTCTTCCTCTAACTCAAGGGATTCACCAAGCTGTGCTGATCTGATTAGGTGAACATCACTGTTCAGTAGAAAAAGCAATGCCTTTTCTTTCCTAGTCCTGACAGTGAACTGGTTGAGTCACATCCGGTGAGTACATGCAATGATGGACCTTTGGGAAAAGAGAATGAACAGGTACAAACCTGAACTTGTCTATAATGCCTGTATGGAACCAAAGTTCTTGACACTCGAGATCCTCAAAGAGAAACGTAAAAAGCATAGCAACATCTGTATCTGGTGACTGAATCACAATCAGCCAGGTGTCTACTTCCAAGAGGTCTGATGTCAGATACTATCATCCTCATAATGACCCTTTTTTTATAAGTACAGCTTTTTCTCCATCACTGCAGCCACCACCCAAGACTAATTGCTCAGTGGTTGTGAGGTTGTCTTGGCCAATACGTATCCAGGTTTCTGACAAGAAAACATAGAGGTTCTCTTTGTTTGTTTTTAGGATTGCTGATGTACTTTTGTCACTGTCTGGGAATGGGAGTTGTTTGACAGATACACGCTTGTATCAAACGGCCTGAAGTGTCCTGAGGCATCACAACTCCAGTAGCAATGTTGATAAGAGGCATTGTGTCACCAAATACATCATGAAATGATAACGGATTTGTCATCACCCCTGATGCCAAGCATGTAATTAACTGCTGGACATCATCTTCATCCCGTTTAAACCTATTTGGAGCTGACTCATTGTGTGTGCCCGCAGTCGCTGCACGTTCAAGACATCGTTCTAGTACTTCTGTTTTTTTAGTTATTCCAATTATGACCCCATGTGCTTTGTCTCCAAATTCACAGTTTGCTCAAGTCCCATATCTGTCCATATTTGGGCAATCGGCTGATTGCATGGTACCATTTATGAACTCTTTATGCAAGTCTGGATGTCTCTCTGATAGGAGCTCCGAAAGGTACACTGGTAACCATCTTGAGTTGTTGTGTCTGCCCATAGCAAAGAAATATGGAGTCAGTGCAGCAGTGGATGATAGGAGTAGTGTCCAAATACCTGTCATCTCCGCCTTGATGAACCGAAGCGTTAGCTAAACCACTGGAATGTAATAATCCCAAAATTCATATGTTTGGCTCTTTGATTCCGGAAAGTGGTAAACGGGAGAATGACTGTTTGAGTTTCATCTACAAGCTTCAGAACTGATTGTTGAAAGTCATGACCTTCCTTTGTAGCATCTTGGATGGCCATAGTCTTGTCAACACTGGATTGTTCATTAGCAACACGTTTCCCCTTGTTAATCAGCTAGTTTACAAATGTTTGCCATTGTAAATGAAAAAGGGCTTCCCTCAATAGCTTGTGACATTGAACTCCCTGATTCTGGAACTTTCCATTCAGAAGGGTAGTGACTGATCCACTTGTATAAACACCACTTTCAATGGATCTGGATACCCGATTCTTCATGTCTTTACCCAAGAGTTTGAGGAAATTGGTTGCAATGTGGAACCCACCCACGTTTATGACAGTGTCAGAAAAGTCTTCTGGAAGGTGCCTTTGGATTTCTTCGGCTTTTACATAGATTTTAAGGTCAAATGTAATGACACTGTCATGCTGCTGAAGGCTGGACATCATGGTCTGAACTGTCTTCATTAATGTATACACAGTGCTGAACTCTGTGGAAGCGCCATCAATCATCGGACAATAACCAACGTTGGTATGTTGAGTGTACCATAGCATGGAAACCACTCCAGCTTGGCACAACCTGCTGCTCTGCTTTAACTAGAGTAAGTTGAACAACACATATGTTTGTTGGACACATCTGGAAAATGCCCATGCCAGATTCAAACTGCAGCTCGATAGATGAAAATCTTCAGTATCATTGAACCATACATTATCTGCTTGCCTCACATAACTGAGTGTGCGTTTGCTGTGAATACTAAACTCCCGCATGTTCTTGCACATTCTTGTAGACTGAAAAGTCTGTTTCCTCTGAGAGTGATCAGCATATACCATGCGTGGGGCTGTTGGACCAAACTGGCTTTTCTGATATAGAAATATAGTTGTAGCATGTGTTGTGTGTTTTCCATAAAGTCTCTCTTCAGTAAAGTCATCTGCAGTCTCTTGAACAAAGACACCAGGTACGATGTTGGCTGGAACAACACCATGCATCTCAGATTTGGCAATGGCTCCCTCAGCGTGTCTATGGTTTCAATTTGATTGTATGAAGCACAGTGTCCCATTCTGTTCAGCATTGTGATCATCAGCTTTGAGCCTGTAACGTGATGAACTGAAATAGTCTAACAGTGTTCCATCACATTTGTCATGGTCAAGGCAAGGGACCAGTCATTATTCACATGTATATCTGTATACTTTCTAAGACAAATACATATATTTATTGAATATATTTACAGAATATTTATCCTGTTTTCAAAATATGATTGAGTTTTTTTTAACATGGTTCTAAACGATTATTAAGAAATGCGGTTTGGTTAATATATTACACACGTTCTTGCAATTTGGTGTATTATATTGTTAGAATCATCCTTTTCAATTGCCATTGTAGGGATATATACATAATATTTTCATTTGATAACTTAACAGAATATTGGCGGTTTTCAGGATTTCGTTTCAAGAATACAAGATTTTTTCAAGAAATTACCCTTTTTTCCTCATCTATGTTTATTTGGTGTTATAAAATTAAGTGATTTTGTATAATGTTCAAATAAACTTCACAATATCATATAATGATCATGACGATGCTCACTGCAAAGAAAGTCCTAAGACACAATATTGCACCTTCTCTCGAACATTTGCCTGCATTTTGCTATATGGGTAGGACCCAAGAATGACCCTTAACTTTTTACCTACCCTATAATTTAGGATTACATAGTACCTAGAAATGTTCAGTAGGCTCTCCTGGATCAAACTGTGTAGGCAGACCTTTTATGTAGTAGGTGTTGAACAAACTCATTTTCTGAGCCCCCTACTGGACTTAGCCTCTAGACTATAATTCATTAGTTTCTGATTTTTAAATGTTGTCAGTGTGAGGTCCACTTCATAGTGCCAGGACTGAACGAAGCTCAGAGGAATAACGCCATTGGACGATTGCAAGCAGGCGAGTTCAGATCAGAGGCTGCGAGGTTTTTTAATGTCGCCCCTAACACCATATCGATGCTATGGAACCGCTTCCAGCAGCGGGGATCAACACGTGACCTTCCCAGATCCTGTAGGCCACGTGTCACCACTCCTGCCGAAGACCACTACATCCGGTTGCGCTACCTATGCCAAAGGACGACGACTGATGTCTCCACTGCATCCTCAGTACCTGGAATGCGCAGGATCTCGGACCAGCCTGTCCGGAACCGTCTACAGTCCTGTTGGGGGCGTGATTTTGTCCAGACAGCATCGCCAGCTACGACTGCAGTGGTGTCGAGTGCACGGGAGGGTCTTAGGGACGATGGAGACACTTATGGTTCAGCGATGAATCATGATTGATGCTCTGCAGACAGAATGGAAGGGCAACCATTTTCTATTGAGTATGTATTTTATTGAGACAGATTTGTAACTGCCTCTCTATTGTATGCACATTATCCTATGTTAAGAAACATTTACATCATCCACTAAAAGTGATGCATCAACTGAATAAGTTAAAACCTTAAAAGAGTTGTTTTAATACTTAATAACGTGACATAGAAAATACTGTCATGTGGAACACCCTGGTCCTGACTGTAAAGATCAGACATGGTGGACACACTTCGGACTTGAAAATGTCTGTCTGTTAAAAACAGGTAAGCAACCTCTCAAATGAAAATCATGTAAACCCTTCCAAATGCCGTGATTCTAAGTTGTATCGTAGGCTTTCTCCAGATCAAAGAAAACTGAGACTACATGCTGTTTAGATACTATGTCATTTTTGACAAAGGATTCCAGTCGTACTAAATGATTAATAGTACTACGATTTTTTTCCGGAAATCACATTGTAGATTGGTAATTAAGTTTTTGGTTTCAAGAGTCCCGATTAATATGTTATTTACCTTTTTTCCCATGGTTTTACAGACAGAAGTCGTTAAAGATATGGGTCTGTAATTAGATAGATCAGTATGATCTCGGCCAGGCTTTTGAATAGTGACTACAATGGCATAATGCCACGATTATAGAAAATGTTCTGAAGTCCATTTTGTATCAAAAATATCTGGTACTGTTTCCTGACATGATTCATGTAAAAGCTTCAAGAGCTGATAGTGTATATTTTCAGCCCCTGATGCT